ATTTAATATCGCTGTTCTCTAGCTGGTCTAAAACCGCTTTTGACCTAAAGGGATGCTTTGTGGACGCCATGGACATTTCTCAGTTTCCAGGCAGAAAGAACAGTCAAAATGCAGGCAGGGCACAGGACAAAGCACTCGGGACAAAATGTATGTGAAATGCTTTGAAACAGCAATGTTTTACTATGTAATAATCGTTTTTAAAAAAATGAAATTTTTTAAAACTTTCAAATTTGCCGTCGGTTCCGGCGCCCATACGTCCCGACGTCACAGGGACCGGAACACAAAAACCGGATGCTGGCATTGGCCGGAGGAGATGGCCGGGGACACTGCAGGGGACACATCGCGGGAGCGAAGGACAAGGTAAGCACTGCAGGAAATCCCTGAGCAATGCCGCATGGTAAGCCCGAGTGTAGCTCGGGGATACCGCTTGTGGTACTGAAATTTTACCCCGAGCTACACTCAGGAATACCGCTACGGAGGTTAAGCAGCAGAGAAAATCAGTTATGTTATTCGCCATGAATCAAGCAACGGGATTGGTTGGATGTTGGCGGGCCAGGTTTCGGGGGGGAATTAGGCCCTTGTCAAAGTACTTCCCGTGTTGAAGGCATGTGGCGTGGTATGACTAGGGGGAGGGGGGGGGGTGGCACACTCTTGTCTGCCTTATTCTGGTCTTCCAGGCTGCATGCTCAGTTAAGGGTCTGATATGGAGTGTTGGAGGACCCCCACCCCAAGTTTTTCTTTTAATTTTTATGACAGGATCCCTTGTTTCCATTCTGCTGTCAGGTTCAAATCCCTGTACATATGCTTGTTTTTAGGTGCATTTCCATTGAAGTTCATGATGCCAAATCGTGCAGCAACCGCAGCAAGGTAGCACCACCACCTTTTCCGAAAATGTCCTGCGCTGTGCTCATTGATATGAATTGACACCACAGAGAACAATGTGCTTTCTATTGTTATGCGATTCTGTGTGTCAGATGTCACATCAAAAATCGCACTCTTGTGAGCCAGGCCTAAGCCTTACTGCAAAAGTTGTTTCAGTCCTTTTTTGATGTATGAAACAGGAACCTTACCTGGATTTAGATCCATCTCACTGAGACATAGATAGTGAGTATAAAATGTATAACCCTCATCATCTTCTCTTATATCTACAGCAGTAGAACTCATAAGGAGGAAAAATATATTTGAAATATATTTTAAAAATATTCTTCCCAAATATATTGACATATATTTGAAATACTACAATTTTGGGCATATTCAATATATTTAAAAATATATTTCAATAAATATATATATATATATATATATATATATACTTATAATATAGTATCACCCCTACTCCAGTGACCATAAGCAGCACATACTTTGCATAATATTATATGCATAATATTTTGCTGTGTTTGGAGGGAAAGTGGCAGCAATATATATAACATTAATATAACAATTACCTGTATCGGGTATGATATAGTGACTTTTTGATAACATTCAAGGTGGTCACTTATAGAATATATATATATATATATATATATATATATATATATATATATATAAACTGTATGTTGAAATGGGTTTTTATTACAAAATATATGAAAAATATTTTTAAAAATAAATTTCAAATATACTGATATACTGTGTGTCTTTAAAAGTACAAATTTACATTTTTGGAAAGCATTTACAAATATATGTAAAAGTACATGTTAAACTGACTTTTTTATGTGTTAAAAAAAATCTAAAGAATATATTTAAAAAATATAAATTTTAAAAAATATTTTTCATAATAAAAAAAAAACGCATTTCAACATGCAGTATATATATATATATATATATATATATATATTTACACAGGTGAAACTCGAAAAATTAGAATATCGTGCAAAAGTTCATTTATTTCAGTAATGCAACTTAAAAGGTGAAACTAATATATGAGATAGGCTCATTGCATGCAAAGAAAGATAGTTCCAGCCATGATTTGTCATAATTGTGATGATTATGGCTTACAGCTCATGAAAACCCCAAATCCACAATCTCAGAAAATTAGAATATTGTGAAAAGGTGCAATATTCTCGGCTCAAAGTGTCCCACTCTAATCAGCTAATTAAGCCACAACACCTGCAAAGGGTTCCTGAGCCTTTAAATGGTCTCTCAGTCTGGTTCAGTAGGAATCACAATCATGGGAAAGACTGCTGACCTGACAGTTGTGCAGAAAACCATCATTGACACCCTCCATAAGGAGGGAAAGCCTCAAAAGGTAATTGCAAAAGAAGTTGGATGCTCCCAAAGTGCTGTATCAAAGCACATTAATAGAAGGTTATGTGGAAGGGAAAAGTATGAAAGAAAAAGGTGCACAAGCAGCAGGGATGACCTCAGGAGAGGATTGTCAGGAAAAGGCCATTCAAAAGTGTTGGGGGCTTTCACAAGGAGTGGACTGAGGCTGGAGTCAGTGCATCAAGAGCCGCCACACACAGACGGATCCTGGACGTGGGCTTCAAATGTCGTATTCCTCTTGTCAAGCCACTCCTGAACAACAAACAACGTCAGAAGCGTCTTACCTGGGCTAAAGAAAAACAGACCTGGTCTGTTGCTCAGTGGTCCAAAGTCCTCTTTTCTGATGAGAGCAACTTTTGCATCTCATTTGGAAACCAAGGACCCAGAGTATGGAGGAAGAATGGAGAGGCACACACTGCAAGATTCTTGAAGTCCTGTGTGAAGTTTCCACAGTCTGTGTTGATTTGGGGAGCCATGTTATCTGCTGGTGTTGGTCCTCTGTGCTTCATTAAGTCCAGGGTCAATGCAGCCAGGAGATCTTGGAGCACTTCATGCTTCCTTCCACAGACGAGCTTTATGGGGATGCTGACTTCATTTTCCAACAGGACTTTGCACCTGCCCACACTGCCAAAAGCACCAAAACCTGATTCAATGACCATGGGATTACTGTACTTGATTAGCCAGCAAACTCGCCTGACCTGAACCCCATAGAGAATCTATGGGGTATTGCCAAGAGAAAGATGAGAGACATGGGACTGAACAATGCAGAAGAATTGAAGGCCGCTATTGAAGCATCCTGGTCTTTCATAACACCTCAGCAGTGCCACAGGTTGATAGCTTCCATGCCACGCCGCATTGAGGCAGTAATTGCTGCAAAAGGGGCCAAACCAAGTACTGAGTACATATGCATGCTTATACTTTTCAGAGGTCTGATATTGTTCTATGTACAATCCTTGTTTTATTGATTGCATGTAATATTCTAATTTTCTGAGATTGTGGATTTGGGGTTTTCATGACCTGTAAGCCATACTCATCACAATTATGACAAATCACGGCTTGAACTATCTTGCTTTGCATGTAATGAGTCTATCTCATATATTAGTTTCACCTTTTAAGTTGCATTACTGAAATAAATGAACGTTTGCACGATATTCTAATTTTTCAAGTTTCACCTGTGTGTGTATATATATATATATATATATATATATTTTTGTTTTTAAAATATATTTTGAAATAAATTGAATATGGCCAAAATTGTAGTAATTCAAATATATGTCAATGTATTTGGGAAGCATATTTTTAAAATAGATTTCAAATATTTTTCTTCCATGTGGGCATACCCCATGTGGGGTTTCTTTTTATTAGCAACTCCTGTAGATATCTCAGCAGTACCTTTAAATGTAACCCTATTTTTACACCCTCTGCAGAATACTGACATAATGTGGTGCTATCTTTGTGTTACTAAGGAGCAGAACCTCCACCTTAACTGTGAGAATAGGATGGAAACTCTAATAAGCACCAGTGCTTCCACCCAGTTGGGTTTGTGAATACCAAGTGCCAATTGAATGCCAGATACAACAAAAAAACAATGCACACACTATTGCATTTCATGGTCTATATATTGAATAGCAGAAACAAGTAACATCCAGTGAACCATCAAGCTTTACATATTTTTCAAGCAGGAACAATAATACATTGTACAGTCCTTACAGCATGGTGCAGTGAGGGGGTGCTATGTTTAACTTATTGACAGATTCAGTCCTGTCCCTGTGCATATGTATGTATAGGGATTACTATGATCCTTACTGAGTCACATATATAGAATATTATAAGATGGCTATGTATACTCAATTTTGTCTCATCAGAGATGCTTCTATTAATACTTCATAGATTTCAAGTAGTTTATTGCAAATGACAAACATATATCTAGACTGTAACTGTGCTAGCGGGTTTGTGTAATATTTTATGGGAAGTGTCCACCTTGGTCCTTTCATGTGATCTGTTGTTATTTGATAATCTTTGAATTTGAACTTCATGGAAAGTGGCATACAGTGAGGGTGGACATTATAATTATTCAAGTTTCCTTTAAAATAGAGGAACATGAGCAGGAGATACAATCCTCCCTATACACATACATTTGATGTTCTGTAAAGAGATATCCACTTTCAACTGTCTTTTTGTTCACGTGCTCTCCTAGAGGCAGTGGTAAATTTAGGTTTTGTGCTGCCCTAGGCAACACAAAAATTGTCTGCCCCCACAGACACCAACCAACACCACCCACCCTTCCCCCTCCCGTGAAGAGAGCCTGACATTGACCAACAACACCCCTGCCCCCCACCCGGGAGAGCCTTCCACTACCCCCACCCGCAGTGATAGAGAGACACTCATCTTCACAGCTCTGGACATCCCCAGGAACATCAGCCTGACCCTACATACACCATACAAGCAGCCCACAGCCTCTCTCAGATCCTACCTGGTTCCCATGGTGCGTGTGTCCCTTCTTTCATCTCTTCTGGGGGGAGGTGCTGCCCCCCTGAAAAATGCTGCCCTAAGCAAGTGCCTTGTTTGCCTTGTGGTAAATATGTCCCTGCCTAGAGGACTTGCTAAGTCTATAGGGAACAACAAACATGGAAAATTTACTAAAACAGCCACACACAGAATCTGGTGAGCCTGTGCATAGTAACCAATCAGCTTCTAATTTCAGCTTGCTCTATTAAGCTTTGACAGTAAAACCTGGAAGCTCATTGGTTACTATGCAAAGCTGCACCAGATTCAGTGTGCACCAGTTTAAGTAAATCTACTCCATAGCACTAAAGGTCAGCACAGGGGCAGACTGACAACTCATGGGGCCCCCGGACAATAGGGGATCATGGGGCCCCTGTGTCCTTGCCCAAACTCAAAAAAGCCTATGAAAAAGGTACCAGGGGCATCTCATGGGGCCCCCTACTGACCCAGGGCCCTCGGGCAGTGCCCAAGTTTCCAAATGGTCAGTCCGCCCCATGGGTCAGTAGATACCATTAGTAAATAAACAGGAAGAGTAATTATTATATTGCTACAATTACATCAAAGTATGTTGAAAAAAATTCAATGTATTGTGAATAAACCAAAGCATTTACCTACTAAATAAATAAGTACCAAAACACTGATTATTTTCTGTTTCAATCGCTTTTATTGAAAAAGATATTTTAGAAAAACGAAGAACAAATACAATGATAACAGTTCCATAATACAATCTCATAGTGGCAGGTACATCTAGACAAGGTTGCATACAGAAGGTAGGTACAAAGGGAACATAATCCTGCCAACAAATATAACCAGGTTGACTGCTATAATTCTATATGTCTGGTATTTTCTCCTTGCTTTAGAAGTATAAGCATAAAGTATCAAAGGCTAAAACAGCCATGGACCAACCCCAGACTGAAAATTATGTCGGCACAAGACTCCAAATCCGAACATAAAATGAGAGATAGACAAATGCTACCTGAGATATAATACCAGTATTCAGAAATGGATAACTACACAATTAAACGTAGGGGTTTTCTATGTTCTCACTATAGTCACCCTGGCTGCCAGGAGAATAAAAAAGTTAGAATGCAAAGGTGCCTGGGGATCCCATCCAGAAGCTCCCTGAATAGCGCCATCTTGAAATTTATGGAAATATTGAGACTTGAACATGATTTTCAAAGTGCCAATAAGTGCCAAAAGGCTACATGCACATATAGGGGTTGGCCCTAAGCATTCACCCAGCCATAATCTGGTTTTGAGCAGGCATGTGGCCATATGCACTGCTCTGCGAAAACTATAAATTGCTGGTGTGCTTAGCAGGGTGGCTACAGTCCCACATACAGTTGCAAGAAAAAGTATGTGAACCCCTTGGGATTACGTGGAGTTTTGCATGAATTGGGCATAAAATGTGCTCTGAACATCATCTAAGTCACAACAATAGAAGAACACAGTCTGCTGAACATAATACTACACAAACATTAGATGTTGCCATGGTTTAATTGCACATAACATGTAAACATTCACAATGCAGGGAGGAAAAAGTATGTGAAGCCCTAGCTTAATGACTTCTCCCAGAGCTAATTGGAGCCAGGAGTGAGCCAACCTTGACTCCAATCAGTGTGATGATATTGGATGTGTTGCTGACAGCTGTCCTGCCCTTAAAAAAACACACACCTGTTTTGGGTTTACTGGTTTCAAGAAGCACTGTCTGATGTGAACCATGCCTCGCAAAAAAAAGCTCTCAGAAGACCTACGATCGAGAATTGTTGACTTGCATGAAGCTGGAAAGGGTTACAAAAGTATCTCCAAAAGCCTTGATGTTCATGTGTCCACGGTAAGACAGACTGTCTACAAATGGAGAAAGTTTAGCACTGTTGCTACTCTCCCTAGGCGTGGTCGTCCTGTAAAAATGACTGCAAGAGCACAGCGCAGAATGCTGCATGAGGTAAAGAAGAATCCCAGAGTGTCAGCTAAAGACCTACAGAAATCTCTGGCACATGCTAACATTTTTGTTGACACATCTACAATAAGGAAAACAGTAAACAAGAATGGAGTACATGGCAGGACACCACGGAGGAAGCCATTGCTGTCCAAAAAGAATATTGCAGCACGTTTGAAGTTTGCAAAAGAGCACCTGGATGTTCCACAGCACTACTGGCAAAATATACTGTGGACAGATGAAACCAAGATTGAATTGTTTGGAAAGAACACACAACACTATGTGTGGAGAAAAAAAGGCACAGCACACCAACATCAAAACCTCATCCCCACTGTAAAACATGGCGGAGGGAGCATCATGGTTTGGGGCTGCTTTGCTGCCTCAGGGCCTGGACAGATTGTTGTCATTGATGGGAAAATGAATTCCAGAGTTTATCAAGACATTTTGCAGGAAAACGTACGACCATCTGTCCACCAACTGAAGCTCCGCAGAGGATGGGTGATGCAACAGGACAATGACCCAAAGCATACAAGTAATTCAACAAAACAATGGCTGCAACAGCACAGAATACGCCTTCTGGAGTGGCCCTGTCAGAGTCCTGACCTCAACCCGATTGAAATGCTGTGGCATGACCTTAAGAGAGCGATTCACACCAGACATCCCAAGAATATTGCTACACTGGAACAGTTTTGTGAAGAGGAGTGGTCCAAAATTACTCCAGATCGTTGTGCAGGTCTGATCTGCAACTACAGGAAACGTTTGGTTGAGGTTATTGCTGCCAAAGGAGGGTCAACCAGTTATTAAGTCCAAAGGTTCACATACTTTTTCCTCCCTGCACTGTGAATGTTTACATGTTATGTGCAATTAAACCATGGCAACATCTAATGTTTGTGTAGTATTATGTTCAGCAGACTGTGTTCTTCTATTGTTGTGACTTAGATGACATTCAGAGCACATTTTATGCCCAATTCATGTAAAACTCCACGTAATCCCAAGGGGTTCACATACTTTTTCTTGCAACTGTACATGTAGATAGAACATTGGCACATTCGAAAAAGTTGGAGAGAGCAGATTATAAAATATATATTATGAGTATAAATTTATGAATATATACAGTATATATATATATATATATACACATACACATTATATACGGCCGCCATTTTATTGTTGCAACTATACCCCATAGGAACTGGCAAGCAGATTGAGACTATGATTTGTCACTAAACTCCCCCCCCCAATATATATATATATATATATATATATATATATATATATACAGTCATGGCCGAAATTGTTGGCACCCTTGATATTTCTCCAGGAAATCATGTATTTCTCACGAAACGTATTGCATTAACACATGTTTTGCTATACACATGTTTATTCCCTTTGTGTGTATTGGGACAAAACAAAAAAAGGGAGGAAAGAAAGCAAATCGACACATAATGTCACACAAACCTCCAAAAATGGGCTGGACAAAAGTATTGGCACCCTTTCACAACTGCGGATAAATAAGAATGTTACAAGCATGTGATGCTCCTGTAAACTCACCTGGGGCAAGTAACAGGTGTGGGCAATATAGAAATCACACCTGAAAGCAGATAAAAAGGAGAGACGTTCACTTAACCTTTGCATTGTGTGTCTGTCTGTGCCACACTAAGCATGGACAACAGAAAGAGGAGACGAGAACTGTCTGAGGACCTGAGAACCAAAATTGTGGCAAAATATCAACAATCTCAAGGTTACAAGTCCATCTCCAGAGAACTAGATTTGCCTTTGTCCACAGTGCGCAACATTATCAAGAAGTTTGCAACCCATGGCACTGTAGCTAATCTCCCTGGTCGTGGACGGATGAGGAAAATTGATGAAAGATTGCAACGCAGAATAGTCCGGATGGTGGATAAGCAGCCCCAAACATGTTCCAAAGACATTCAAGCTGTCCTGCAGGCTCAGGGAGCATCAGTGTCAGCGCGAACTATCCGTCGACATTTAAATGAAATGAAACGCTATGGCAGGAGACCCAGGAGGACCCCACTGCTGACACAGAGACATAAAAGAGCAAGACTACAGTTTGCCAAAATGTACTTGAGTAAGCCAAAAGCCTTCTGGGAAAACGTCTTGTGGACAGATGAGACCAAGATAGAGCTTTTCGGTAAAGCACATCATTCTACTGTTTACCGAAAACGGAAATGAATGAGGCCTACAAAGAACAAAACACAGTACCTACGGTAAAATATGGTGGAGGTTCAATGATGTTTTGGGGTTGTTTTGCTGCCTCTGGCACTGGGTGCCTTGACTGTGTGCAAGGCATCATGAAATCTGAGGATTACCAAAGGATTTTGGGTCGCACTGTAGGGCCCAGTGTCAGAAAGCTGGGTTTGCGTCCAAGATCCTGGGTCTTCCAGCAGGACAATGACCCCAAACATACGTCAAAAAGCACTCAGAAATGGATGGCAAAGAAGCGCTGGAGAGTTCTGAAGTGGCCAGCAATGAGCCCAGATCTAAATCCCATTGAACACCTGTGGAGAGATCTTAAAATTGCTGTTGGGAAAAGGTGTCCTTCCAATAAGAGAGACCTGGAGCTGTTTGCAAAGGAAGAGTGGTCCAAAATTCCGGTGTGAGAGGTGTCAGAAGCTTATTGATGGTTATAGGAAGCGACTGATTTCAGTTATGTTTTCCAAAGGGTGTGCAACCAAATATTAAGTTAAGGGTGCCAATACTTTTGTCCAGCCCATTTTTGGGGTTTTGTGTGTGACATTATGTCATATTTGCTTTTCTGCCTCTGTTTTATATTTGTTCCAATACATACAAAGGGAATAAACATGTGTATAGCAAAACATGTGTTAATGCAATACCTTTTTTGTGTGAAATACTTGATTTTCAGGAAAAATATCAAGGGTGCCAACAATTTCGGCCATGACTGTATATATAGTACTGTGCAAACGTTTTAGGCACCGGCATCAAATTCTTACATGTACACACTTTGTACACTTGTGCAAAGTCATGGATTTTGTAGGATCGGAGTCAGATATATGATTAACCAATTATAGCAAGCAGGTGCTAATGTTCATCAATTTTATATGTAGTTTGAAACATAGTCATTAACTGAAACAGAAACAGCTGTGTAGGAGGCTTTAAAACTGGGTGAGGAACAGCCAAACTCTGCTACTAAAGTGAGATTGTGAAAGACAGTTTACTGTCAGAGGTCATACACCATGACAAGACTGAGCGCAGCAACAAGTCACAAGGTAGTTATACTGCATCAGCAAGGTCACTCCCAGGGAAAGATTTCAAAGCAGACTGGGGTTTCAAGATGTGCTGTTCAAGCTCTTTTGAAGATTCACAAAGAAACAGGCAAGGTTGAGGACGTAG